AGAAGAAGAAGAAGAAGAAGAAGAAGAAGAAGAAGAAGAAGAAGAAGAAGAAGAAGAAGAAGAAGAAAGTTGGCTATGCTGAGAGTGAAGATCAAACATTGCTCCAAGGGACTTGATGGCCCTAATCGGTAGGAAGTAGTCTACCAATCATGTCACCCTCTTTGCTCTCTATCCTTTTTTTCTCTCCTATCTAGTGTTAGGGGGTTGAAAGTGTGGAAGACAAAGAACCACAGAGTAAACACAGCTACACTCCTCCTCTTACCCTAACCTCCTAAATGCTGGGACTATAGGCATGTAAGTACTGTCTATCCGAGTGACATCATCCTGTCATGTAAGTCAGAGACTTGGGTTCCTCTTCACAATTTCCTTTCTGTCAGGTCAAGGCCACAGCAACGTGGCCCCTCACTGCTGTGTCAGGTGCGGTTCTGCCTTCTCCTGTACTGTAGTCTTCTACCTCCCAAGTGCTGGGATTAAAAGTGTTTGCTCCCACTTGTTCTGTAGTCCAGGCTGGTGGCTATTTTCTGTAGCTCAGACTTGTCACTTCCTCAGCCTCCTGAGCACAGAGATTACACGTCAGGCCTACCACACCTGGCCGGGGGTATTTTCTAATAATGAAGGACACACTCCCAACTGGCCCTGGAAAATTCTAAGGATCTAGACACTAGGAACATAGAGATGGGCTGTGGGGCAACCCGGGGAAAGAACATTTACCTCACAGGTGCACAGCGCCAGGCTTGATCCCCAGCAGTGCAAAACCAAAACAGAACCCCAACGAATACAACGGTTTAATGGATCCAAGATCAAAGCTGCAAGTCGTCGGCTTGAGTTAGGTCCCCTGAGGAGTGGCTCTCAAGAGCAGAGCAGAAGCTGCACCATATCCTCTGGTCCGCTCCTCTGCCCACGTGCTTCTGTGGACACGCCCTCTCAGGTGGGAAAGTGAGGCGCACTCCTTCATGGAAGCTGCTGTAGAAGCAACTGCAGTTTCTTTGTGAGTCCTGTCCAGGGTCTGCCGAACCACTTCCCCTCCGCTACCCCTCTCCTGACCCCACCTGACCTCTGGTGGGGACCTGCATGAGGACGACGCTGGTGTTCATGATGAGTGAGCTGGTCACTGGGAAGTAATGGGAATGAGCTGGGGACATGTGTAAGCTAGCCGAGAGTGTGGCTGAAGTACTGGATGAAGCCCAGAAACACTAAAGTAGAAGAATCCATCTGGGCATGGAGCCCCCGAGGACATGCCATCCTTGTGCCTGGCCAGGCCTCCCACTTGCTGGGCTAGAAGGTTCTCCCTGTTCCCATTTGGGAGGGGACTTCTCAGTCAGGGAAGGCTGTTCACGGTGTCCCACCCTACTGCCCTGAAATAAGTCCCTGCCTCAAAAGCAGCCCGGGCATTAATGCTCCCCAGTGGCTGCCCTGTAGAGGGGTGATGAGCCGTACTGTAAGACAAAAGGGGGTGGCAGGATGGCCTCAGTGTCACTGCTCCCCAAGGGAAGGCACCCACTGCCTCTCAGCTGCCGGTCACAGCACCTGGGAAGAACACACACATACCCTGTCCACACAAAATGCTGTAATCAGGCTCTGGCCAGTGCAGCACCTTCCTAAGAACCTTTTTCATGGAGCGGGGTGCTGGTCAGAGTGAGAGAGAGCTCCAAGCCAGGTGCTCGCTGAGGAGGCAGTCGGCATTTTCAGGCAGAATGGTATGCCATATTATAGGGCGCTTTCTTCAGAGTTTCCAGGAAGAACTGTTCATTCTCCAGGAAGTCATGGTCCTGTGAGGCATATTCAGATGAGTGCTCATACTTTTGTGCACTGACCAGGGACTCCTAATATGGTGGAGCCAGCATGCACTTTAGGAACCCTCTTCACTTACTCCTGGGCACTGGGAAGCAGTGGGGGTATGTGGGAACTTAAGCATGGAATGAGTTAGGCTGTGATGTCAGTCCTGACATGAACTTGAGAATCTTGGGATTTATCAGCAGTGACCTCATATGTCTAGGCCCCAGTATCTTCATCTGCAAACTGGAGATAAAAACATCTCACAGCTGTGTGTGATGGTTCACACCTGTAATCGCAGAGCTTGAAAGGACTCCAAGGCCAGCCTGGGCTACACAGTAAGTTCAAAAAGTCTGAGCTACAGAGTGAACCCCCCCATCTCAACAAAACAAGCAAAGAAAAGTCAAAAAGAAAAAAAAAAGGCTGAGGCTATAGCTCAGTGACAGTCAAACAAACACGTGTCCCCTCATGTGGGACTGTGAGAAAGTTCCTGATGCACACGAAGTCTTCAGCTCTGAGCCCAGCATGTGGGATATGCTCCTTGAGCCGTTGTCACAGGTCACTTGCAGTTTGAGGGCTTATTGCTACCTCTCGTGCCTAGAACAGGCCCCAGAAGCTGTGTGGGCAGTTTGCCTCCTTTTTTGGGGGGTGGGGGGTAAGGAGCTAGGTTTTACTGTGTAGCTTTGGCTGTCTGGCCTGGAACTTGCTATGTAGGCCAGGGTGGCCTTAATCTCAGATACCCACCTGTCTCTGCTTCCCAACATTAGGCTGGCCCTAACATTATATGCTTTGCATTTTTTTAAAGTTCAAATTTCAAAGCCAGATTTTAACAGGGGATAATACTGGGGACTGAACCAGGGCCCTGTACAAGCTGGACAAGTATTCTGTCATTTACTATATCCCCAATCCTAGCAATCTCCTTAGTCTTCCCTTCTAGGAGCCAGGGTGTGTGCTCCCTGGGTCCTGGAGGACTGCCTGTGTTTGTTATGGATGTAAACGTGAGAACCCGCCCCATGATACTGACCTGTTCCGCTGTGTGCTTTAGCAGCAGCAGCTTGGCGAGAAGGTGTGTGGGCACCTGGGCAGCAGGGGTCTGGCTACGCTGAGGAGTGGTGGAAGCAGGGGCCTGGATGGCTGAGGAGAAAGGTAGGGGGCGATGTCAGGGGGGAAACTGAGGAGCCTGGCTTTTTTCTGTAAGACCAGAACCCATTCTGCCCAAGGGAAGAGCTGGGCCCAGTGCCCTGGGGACTCTTCCAGAGAACCCAGGCTCTACCCATGCACTCACATGGCAGCTCACAACCATCAGTAATTGCAGTTCCAGGGGACCTGATGTCTTCCTCTGGCCTCAGGCACAGAACCCACACACAAGGTTTTTTAAAAAGGACAAAGACTTGCTAGAGCAGGACACCTGGTAACTTCCGCGGGCTCCGCACATGCATGGGTGTACATGCACCCAAAAGAGACACGAAGAAAGACTGGGAGCCTGTGGCAGCAGTGCGCACCTAATCCCAGCACGGGGTGCAGAGGCTTGACTTCAAGCCTGGTCTACAAGACTCCAAAGAAATTAAAACAAACAAACAGTAACAAAAAGGAATGGTGGCTCATCAATCCCAGCATTCAGGAAGCAGAGGCAGGAGAATATCTGTGACTTCAAGGCCAACATGGATGACATAGTTTCAGGCCACGTACAGCTACATAGTGTGACCCTGTCTTAGACAAACAAAACACTCCGCTCAAAAAGGAAAATGGGGCTAGAAAGATGGCTCAACAATGGACACACCCATAATGCAGCATCCAGGATGCTGAGGCAGGAGGATCTGAGTTTGAACCATGGCTGGGCAATAAAGCAAGACCGTATTTTCAAACAAGACCCTAAACAAATAGCTTCAGGCAGCCCCTAAGTTGAGCAGCTAGAGGAGGTCCTGCTGCTGCCTGCTCCAGGCTGTGTCCCATCCTGGAGTCACTCACCATCCAGGCTGGAGGCTTCTGGGTCCTGAACTCCGGAGGGCAGCACTGGAAGGCTAGAGGGTACTTCCTGTCGCACACGGTCGAGCTGCAGCCTCTGCTGAGCCAGGCTAAGATGCTCCTGTGCCAACCCCGGGGAGGGAGAGATGGGCTGAGTGGGGAGGGGAGGCAGGAGGGCCTGAGGGGCAGGAGGGTGGGGGCTGGAACCTTGCCTGGTGCACGCGCTGCTCCTGCTGCCGCAGCCATTCCTGCTGCCGCTGGACTGCCTGCAGCCGGCTCTGCTGCTCAGACTGTATCTGCTGGGCCTCCTGCAGCGCCTGTTCACCCTCCTCGTACTTCTTGGAGGCCACCTGCAGGGAGGCCACCGGGTCAGGACTGGCTAGAGTCAAATGGTGGCTTGGACCACAGCCCTGCCATAGCACACCTTGCTCATGTGCTCCAGCTCCTGTGCGCGGGCCTGGAGGCGCAGGCTGGCTTTGTGCAACCTGTCCTTCTCCAGCCGGAGCTCTTGGCGCTCTCTCTCCAAAGCCTCCCTCTCAGCAGCCAGCTTCTCCTCCTTGGCCCGGAGCTCACAGGCCCTCACGGTCAGCTCTGCCTGCTCCTGCAGAAGGTAGAGTCATTGCCGTAGTCATCGATCCAGAGCTACACCAAGCTCGTGCAGCCCTTGGGGTCCCTTCTCCCTACCCTGCCTCTGGGCGAGGGGCTGCTGACATGGACTAGACAGGCCTGGGGCCAAGCTTGGGGCTCCCATACAAGCCACATACATTTACCATGTCCAGCTTCTCTGAATATGTTTCTTCACTTAAATACCGCTTAAATATGGAAGCAACTGGCAAAGAACATGGATATGAATAAAGTGCCTCAGAAAAGGCAAGTTACCTGAACTGCTGACTGCTGTTCCAGTTCCTGTACTCTTGCTACGTCTGCCCTTATTTCCTAGGCCTGGGATCTTTTGTATCAGGTGGGAGTCCAGGGTATCCTGGCCATCCTCAGTCCCAGAGGCTCTGGGTCCTACCTTGGTCAGGCTGATGATGGTGCCCTCCCGCTGGGAGTCTGCGTGAAGTGCCCTCTCAGCCTCGCGCTCAGCCCGTTCCTTACTCAGCTTCTGCTGTGTGAAGTACTCGGCCCATTCTGCCGCTAGGCGCCGCCGCTCTTCCCCACACTTATTCATGACTGACTTCTGCTCCTCTAGCAAGGCACTCTGTGTTGGGCAAGGAGGGTAGTGTGGGTGTCAGGAATGGTGGGCTCAGCAGCTGGCTGTGGTGCTAGACTCACCTTGGCTCTCTCCAACTCCTCCCTCTCCATGGACATCTGCTGGACCATGATCCTCCTCTGTTCCTCTAGAGTGCGTTGTGCTGACTCAGCCTTGGACTTCTCGGCAGCCACCCGCCAGCGTTCCTGCAAGGCCCAGGGGAAGGGCTGAGGGTGAGCTCCCCACTCTGGGAGCAGGCCAAGCTGTTCTAGGAGCCTTCCAAATATGGCTTCTCCCATGCTAAGTCATAAAGTTTCCAAAGAAACATGAAATGGCAGGTACTTAGGAGGTATTGTCTAGGTCCAGTTCCTCTGATTCTGATTTAGGAGGCTCCAGTGCTCACGTCAAATCGCACCACAGAGAAGGTTCAGGAGTGCCCCACCTGAACCGCCAGATCTGTCCCATCACCTACCAGCCTCGAGTGCTAGGGACCCACAGTTTCTGTAAGCATGAGGGCAGAAGTTCAGCAACTTAGGTCTTAGGGCTGAAGTCAGAGCTCAGCTGTTAAGAGCACTAAATGCTCTTCCAGAGAACTGGGGTTTAGTTTCCAGTATCCCATAGCAGCTCACACCCACTTGTAACTCCAGGGATATGATGCCCTCTTCTGGCCTCCAAAGGCAAAACAACCCATACACATTAAAAACAAAAGAAGACTAAAGCTTAATTCATCTTAATTCATAGGGAGTTCAGGTATATTTGTCCCTTGAGGGGTTAAATAACATTAACAGGCAGAGTATCCATCGAGTGCCACAGGTATCACTGATGTGGCAGATCTGAGCGACAAGAGGAAGAAGGAGGCACAGGAATGGTGGGGGCTCTGTAGGGTGGCCCTGGGGGTGGGAGCTGAAGAGCGGGTGTTGGGTGACTGCGCCTGTCTTAGGTGGCCCTGGAGTACAGACACCCTGTACATCAGGACAGACTCACCTGTTCCAGGAGTCGGCTCTGCTCACTCAGGCGCACCTCCATTTTCCCGATGACCTCCTGGAGCCGGCTGCGCTCTTCCTCCATGTCTCGCTGCTGCCGGCCCAGCTGTTCCTGCAGAGCTGGGGCAACACACAGGGCGTTCACTGCCTGCCCTCATTTCCAACAATGGGGGTCCCAGTTATAGAGGGGGCTACCTCGCAACTGCTCATCTTGCTGCCGGATGCCCAACTCTCGTTCCTGGGAGGTGCTAAGGTGCGATGCTTCCACACGGGAGGACAGTGCGTTCAAGCTGCTGGAAAACCTCTCCATCTGCTCAATGATGCCGTTCAGGGACCTGAGGATTATCATGGCACCTCATCCTGGGACACCCAGGGCACCCAGGACACCCGGGTCCAAATAACCCCTTGGGTAACACATACCGAGTATGGGAGGTGGCACTGGTGACAGCATCAATCTCTTGGTCCTTCAGCATCTTCAGCCGCTGTAGCTGGTGTTCATGGTCCTTGCGCATCTCCAGAATGGATGCCCTGAGAGGATGGTAGCAGAGTCAAGGAAGGCCAAGGGCCACTGTGAGGGGCACCACACAGACAGATGACACCGGAGAACAAGAAAAGAGCTTGTCTCTGAGCACTGTCTCCTCTTCTTCCTCCATCAGACACAGTCTTAGAGCCTCAGTTTCCCTGGCTCTTCTATCTCATCTCTTGCTGTTTCCATGCCACACGCACCCTGCTGCTTAGCAAAGGGCTCTTTCCACAGTGCAGGAGAGAGCTATGTGCCTAATCCTCTGTGCTGGCCCAGGTGCTATCCTGAGGTGTCTTTTCTTAGTTTCATTGTCATCCAGAAAGGCTTAATACCTGACTTCCCGGACCCTCCCATCGCAGCAGTGGGTGGAACCCCACCCGTAAGGGGCAATGGACTGGTGTGCTCAGTCAACAGGTTGAAAGGAAGGGAGAGTCTGTGCAAAGGCTGAAGAGCCATACTGTGGTCTCATGGGCACTGCTGTCTGCCAGCTAGTCCTCACAAGCCTGCTCCCTAGGCCCTGCCCTGTCCTCTGGCCTTGCAAAGCCACGCCCCATTCTTCTGCCTCTTGCCCTTACTGCTGAAGCTCCCGAAGCCGTGCCACCTCCTGGTCCTTCTCCTGGGCAGCCATGGCCAAGTGCCGCTGGTGCTGGGCTATGAGCTCAGCCCTGGCCTGCTCAGCTTCCCGGCAGTATGATACATGCTGAGCTGACAGTGCCTCCTTCTCTCGGCGGAGCTGCTCCTCCTTCTGCTGGTAGGATGATTCTAGCACCTTGACATGGCTTCTGTCAACAGAACACCCACTTTAAGGGCCTCACCGAGCATACTGGCATGCTCCTGGGGCCGAGGGAGGGGATCTGAACCTGAGCTCTGACAGGCCCCCAAGACTGGAGCCAGCAGGTACCTGTGTGCATCCTCAATGAGCTCCAGGTCCGCCTGGTGCCGCTGTTGCAAACTCTCCAACAGCATCCTGTGCTGCGTCCGCTCCAGCTCCAACTTTCGCACCTAGGCATGGGTGATGCCAGGGAAGTAGGGTCCTTCAGCAATCAGACTGACTCCACTCATGGTGCACCCTCCCCCTGACGATGCTTCCACCCACTTCCCATGAGGAAGTGGTCCTCACTGCCCCGCAGCTCTCACCTGGGCCTCCAGCTCTGACAGCTTGGTCTGGCTCTGCAGCAGCTCAACCTGAAGCTGGGCAGAGCTGCTTTGAAGCTGCCCTTGGGCAGCCAGGAGCTGCTTCTGGTATCCCGAGCCTGGCAGCAGAGTCTGCATCATGGACTCTGGGAGCAGAGACTGTGGGAGAGGATGAGAGCTATTCCGAGGTGGAAGTTGCCAGGGCTCCTGCTGAGCTTCACCACCATCAAGTTCTCTGCTTTTGGACCTCTCGGCCATCTGTTACAGGTGGCTAGACAGGACAAGACCAGAACAGCTCCAGCAGGACAGGACCTGGGAGTCCTGGGCCTTGCCGGGAAGGAGCTCCCTTGAACTCCGGTCAGGAAACAGATCACCCTCCCTTGCCAAGAACATACGCCTCAGTTATTGCAAAGCTTCTGGCCCTGGCCCGTTAGGTCGGGCCTAAAGGCCTACATTGACAGTTGGTTCCAAAAAGCTCCCCTTCACCCATGGTTTCCCAGGGACACATTCCCGGCTGTCATACCTACTGGCCTGGGTGTTAGATGTGACTGTCCCGGCTGATGCAGTGGGAAGATGCAAAGATGGGAAAGTTTCCCAGCAGAACAACAGGACACCTGTACCTTTCTTTTCTTTCTCTTTCTTTCTCTTTTCTTTTGACAGGATCTCACTCTATAGTGAGGGCTGGCCTGGCTTGGAACTATAACTCAGTGGCCTCAAACCTGATCCCCCTACCATAGTCTTCTGGACTAGAATCACAGGGATTTGTGTGAAATGATGCATAGTGGTGCTTTAAATGAGAATGGCCCCACAGACTCATATATCTGATACTTGGTCCCTGGTTAGTGAAACTGCCTGGGAAAAATTCAGAGGGGTGGCCCACTGAGGCAGATGTGGACTTGCTGGGGGAGGTACGTCACTGGAGGTGGGTTGAGCCCATGCTAGGCTCAGCGTCTCTCTCTTTCTGCTGCCTGAGGATCAGGATGTAACAGAAACTAAGACAGCATTCTTTTTTTTTTTTTTTTTTTTTTTTTTTTTCCAGTACTGGGGACTGATCCTGGGTCTTACATACATATGCCAGGCAAGCTTTCTGCTAGGGAGCAACCCCACCTGTCACTCTAGAAGCCAGGTGGGGCTGGAACTCACTGTGTAGCCTTAAGCTCATCTCAAACATATGGTTCTCCTCCTGCTTCAGCCCCTGAGTGCACTGCCTTACCAGGCTTGTACTATGCTGGCAGACTCACACCCTCAGGAAAGTGCTGACAGGGGTTAGCAGAGTGAGGGGGGCTGCTGTCCTACTGGATGTATCTGCTGCAGTTCTGACAGAGGGTCAGCTCCCCCTCCTCTGAGCAGGGGAGAACTGTTCTCTGGGCCCCAAAATGTTTGTCCACCTTCCCTACCTGGACAGGCACAGAGAGCCCTGTGGGATCCTGGGAATGCGGAACATAAACTGCAGGCTCTGAAAAGTTGAGAACAGAGAGAAGAGCACAAGGTTCAGAGGCCTGCAGAGCTCTGCACCAGTGAGAATCTGGGGAGAGTCCCTTGTCACTCATCTTCCAGAGTCCCCAAAGGAACTCAAGGAACCCTTCTCACCCAGGGCTAAAACCCAAGCAAAGATGGAAACAAACCTCTGTTAGAGAAGTCCCCAGAGGCACAGGGCATTCCTCTTTTGGGGTCATCTACAGGGAGGATGGCAGTGGCTTGGCTCCAACTCATGGAGGACCTGGGGACATAAAAATGAGGGCACACTGAATGGCTTCTGTGTAAGACAGAGGCAGAAATGGGGACACAAAGAAAAACATTGCATTCAAACAACTGGGTGGACAGGTCTAGCCTAGGTCTGGTCCTTCTCTAGGAGTGACGGACCTGCGCACTGGTGGTTTGGTACAGGATCTGGTATGCGCCCTCAGACAGTTCTGGTAATCAGGTGACCAGGGAGATGCTGAATGGGACAGAGCCAGTAAATCACCTGGGGTCCCAGCACAGCCACCCCCTGTCTCTCTCTAGTGGGCCTGGGCTGGCCCACTAGCCCTCACGCTCTCAGCCCTGTCTCTGACATACCCTGTGACGGCAGGCCTGACAGCTGCAAGTCCTTGTGTAGTTGCTCTCGAGGCTTCTCCAGCAGCGGCATGCTCGAGGGCCAGAGTGCTAGCAACAGGCTGGCTGAGGAAAGTCCGTGTTAAAGGTGAAGCTCGTGTGAGCTACAGGAAGATGGTCCCAGACAAGCTGCTAGCACTAGCTGAAGGCCGTCCTCCTCCCCTGCCCTTCCCCACTGCCTTTTTGGAATTTTCCTGGCTGGCTCCTGGACTTTGTGGGCTGCCTTTCCCTTCTATAGGCCGATGCCCGCCTCAGCATCCATCATGCTTCCGTAGCAGCAGCAGTGGACAGGCCACATACACTGGAGTTAAGGTCCAGCCTTGTCCAGGGGTCATTTATCTGCTCAGCCTTAGATTCTAGCACTGCTCAATCACCTCCCTCTCCACAGCTACCGGGGCTCACTCTTCTGTTAGCTCTTCCTCCTTCTTGGCTGTCAGGTGACCAGCTCTCCCCTCGATCTCAAGTCAAGCCAAAGCTGCTCTCCCAATACACCAACTCTAGGACCCTGGTGTCCCTGCACTCACAAAACCACACAGTCTCCTCCCCTTGGTTCTGGCTAAAAGGCCTGTTATTGCTTCCTCTGGACTTGGCCTTGTCAGCCCCTTTGCCTTTCTGCCTACAAAGGTCACTCAACACCAGCCTCACTGGACTGTCATTCTATGGTTCCCAGGAACTGCCTCTCAGCTCCCACTTTTACTCAAACACTTCCAAGAGGATATAGGAAGCTCAACTCACACATGCATTAGCCACTTCTATCACACACAAGCTAATGGAAACACCAACACTTGGCACAGTGGGAATCTTTGCCAGGTTGACTGGTACTGTGGACAAGGCCTCTGCTCAGAGGAAGTGGACAGTGGATACTGCCATCTCAAAACATTCTTTGTTTTCTCTTGCCCAATCCTGTCCCCATGGCAGTCATGGCATGAGTGTTACCAGCCCTGCCTGCCTGTCTGCACCTGGGCAGCTCTCTCTGTTGTGCCCTTAAGGAAGAAAAGCAAAGCCGAGTTGGCATCAGTGCCCACAGCAGTATCACTAACAGAGGATGGGACAGGTAAGGTGGGCAAGGATAGCCCCTCAGATCCTGCCAGATCCTTTCTACCAACCAAAGAAGCCCAAGCTCATACCTGCTAGAAGGAGTCTGACCCAATGATCCCAGTGAGGTCACGCCCTTCAAGGGCCCAGCACGCTCTGCTCTGGCTAGACTTTGGGATTTCTTCTGAGATATGACATGGCTCAACCAGTCGTCTTCCTTCTCCTCAGATGCTTTCAGTGAGGAGGCCTGGCTGGCTTTGGCAGGGGCCATTGCACCCTTGGCTGGTGGCTTTGCTGCCGAGGGCGGTCCAGCTGGGGCAGAGTGTGGCTCTGTGGCTGAGTGCTGGTTTGGAGGAGCAGGCAGGGAGGGGGTCATGGCTGAGTCTTCTTGTTGGGGCTTTTGAACAGGAGCGGGAGAGAGAAGGTCCAGGCCATCATCCTTCAAGCCTAGCCAGTCAGCTCCTCCTTTCCTGGGGTGGATGGGGCTGGAAGCTGGTGGAGGGCTCTGTTTGAAGCTGGGTTCCCCTTTAGGGTCTGAGCCACCTTCTCCCAAGAACCTGCTTCAGGACAGAGAGGAAGGTATTGGACAGGGGAGGAAACCATCCCATCAGCCCTCTATCAGCTTATCCTCTGCTTTGGGGGCAATATCTGGCCCCGCAGCAAACAGGGCATGGTGGCTCACACCTCTGATCCCAGCATTCAAGAGGCTGAGGCAGGGACTCTGTAAGGTCAAGGCTGGCCTGTGCTACCAGGACCCTGTGTCAAAACAGTAACATCAGTAATGAAATCCCCACCAGGCTGGAGCTGCGCTCAGTGGGTGGACTGCCTGTCTAGCATATGCTAAGCTCCGGGTCCAGCCCCCAGCACTATAGCAAACCAGGCACAGTGCTGCACACCTGCCACCTCAGCTGTCTGCCAGGACGGAAGAAGCAGGAGAATAAACTCAAGGTCACCCTTGACTTTACAGTGAGTTAGAGGCTAGCCCGTATCAACAACACAACAAAAAGGGCTGGAGAGACAGGTCAGTTGTCACATCGGCATGAGGACCTGAGTTCCAGGGGCTCTTACATCCTCTTCTGACATCCTCAGGCATCAGGGACATGCAGAGTGCACAGACATACATGCAGGCAAAATACCCACACACATAAAATAATAAATCTTAAAAATTATAAATTCACTCCACAGAACCAGAAAATTTGAACACAGGGGTCTTCCCAGAGACTCATACTCCAACCAAGTACCAGGTATGGAGATAACCTAGAACCCTGGCACAGATATAGCCCACGGCAGTTTAGTGTCCAAGTGGGTTCCATAGTAATGGGAAGAGGGACTGCCTCTGGCATAATCTGACTGGCCTGCTCATTGATCACCTCCCCCTGAGGGGGGAGCAGCCTTACCAGGCCAAGGAAGAGGACAATGCAGCTACTCCTGATGAGATCTGATAGACTAAGATCAGAAGGAAGAAGAGGAGGACTTCCCCTATCAGTGGACTTGGGGAGGGGCATGTGTGAAGAAGGGGGAGGGATGGTGGGCCTGGGAGGGGAAGAGGGAGGGACTTATGGGGGGATACAAAGTGAATAAAGTGTAATTAATAAAATAAAATTAAATTTAAAAAATTATAAATTCAGCCATTGCTGATCTGTTTCTGTTGTGAGTGAAGGTGTGTCATGGGGCTATGGCAATGGCAGGGTTCGTGGAAGCCACCGGAGAAGGCCCACCGTTGTGGTATGGTGGCTGTGGTTCTTCTAAGAGGTCAAGTGATACAGCAGCGTTTCATAACATTCAGGGCTTCAAGCAGAAGCAGACCCACCTCCTCCTCTTCCTCCTGAGGAGCTTAGCAGTTTGGGGGCTGCCTGGACTATGGGGAGCCCCTGGCCTCCCTCTCCCTTTAGCACCTGTAGACTCATGGCTGCCGGGTGGGATGAGGAAGGCTACAGGGACAAGCCTGTCCTTGAGGCTTGCTTCCAGGCAGGTCTTACCTGACTGACTGCCGGCGGGACTGTCTGCCCTCGGAGGAGGCCACGGTAGGCTGGTAAGCCCCAAAGGTAAGGATCTCATCATCCCAGCTGTCTTCTTTGTCTGTAAATTAAAGGGCATGAACGTGAACGGGAAAAGCCAAGCTTTCTACAAGACCTGGCAGATGCTAGGCAAGTGCTCTACTACTGAGCAACATCTCCAGCCCCAGGAAAACCAACTAAATCAAACAGCAGCCACAGAAAGCAACAGAACGCTAGATAGCCTGTAAGTAAGTTACCTCATGACAGTGTTCAGAAATGTGTGTTCTGAGTGAAGCTTTTGTTACAGGCTGTGGTAAAATTGTGGTTTGGGCTGGATATAGTGGCTCACACCTACAATCCCAGCACTGGGGAGGCTGCCACAGGGTAATCACGAATTCAAAGCTAGCCTAGAGCAATACTCTGTCTCAAAGGAAAGGAAAAAACTAGGCATGATGGCTCATGCCTTTAATCCCAACACTTGGAAAGGCAGAGGCAAGCAGACTCCTCTGAGTTCAAGGCCAGCTTAGGCTACACAGTGAGCTTCTTTTTTTTTTTTTTTTTTTTAATTTATTTATTATGCATACAGTGTTCTGCCTGCATGTGGGCCGGCGTGCCAGAAGAGGGCACCAGATCTCATTGTAGATGGTTGTGAGCCACCATGTGGTTGTTGGGAATTGAACTCAGGACCTCTGGAAGAGCAGACAGTGCTCTTAACCTCTGAGCCATCTCTCCAGCCCCCCACAGTGAGCTTCTTAAACAAAACAAAAGACAGGGTCTCCCTGTGTAGTCCTGGCTGTCCTGGACTGGCTTTGTAGAATCGGCTGGTTTACAGAGATCCACCTGCCTCTGCTGGGATTAAGGTTGTGCACCATCACGTCCAGAAGGGGAGACCCTATCTTAACAAAATGAAACACCCCCAAAACAAAAACCAAGTGGCCAGGGGGGCCAGACAGAAAGAAACAGTCACCTTGCAGCCAGGATAGACTCCTCCCCTCCCATCCTCTGAGCAGCCTCACCCTCCGGCTTCTGATACTTCTTGTCTAGCTTGAACTCTCTGTGTTCCCCCATGCCCGGGCGAGTGAGAAGCTTGGCAGCTGTGCCTCGACCCAGCAGTTCATCCAGCTTGGAGCGAGCAGGAGTTGGGCCCTCCCTGTGGGACAGGGTAAAGGGAAGGAGTGTGCCATGACATGGGGTTCTCATGATGCCCCACCTTTGAGTTTTTCCCTGGGCCTTAGGCAGCAGCCTGGCCAGGGACTCCCCACTTCATAAGAGTCCTTACTGGTCTCCTGTTCTCCTCCTCTCTGCACTGGGGCTGTCTTCAAAACCTAGGGTGGTCATGATGTCATCCCCTTCGTCAAACAGCAATTCTTTCTTCCGGATGGGAGTATCCCCAGGAGTTAGAGGAACAGAAGGGCCTAAGAAAGAGAACCAAGGCCCAATGCTTGGTGACTGAATGAGGTAGGAGGTGGCAACGGTTTCCTTTTGTCTGGTTTGCCCGGGGACCCTGATGCTAACCCTGTTACAGGCTCACACATTTACCCCCTTACTCTGTCTGACAATCTCTTGCTTCTGGAAGGAAGACACAGGGGCTGCTCTGCTGAGGTCTCTGGCTCTGTACTAGAGAGCTGTCCAGACTCTAACTCATGGCACCAGGAATAAGCCTCTTTCCCACCTTGGTGGCCTGCAGCTGTGCTGGGGCTCTTGGAAGCAGGTTTAGTCTCCATCGCAGGCGGCTTCTTGGCAGTTTCTTCCTCTTCATCAGACAAAAGTTCTGCCAGTGGGTCTTCAAAGTCTCACGGCCAGAAAGAAAGGAAAAACAAGCCAGAAGCTAAGGCAGCTATCACTCACATCTACACAGCTCTTCAGCATCCACAGGGTGCAGTCTACAGGGGATAGCAGACACAGAGGGGCTTAAGCAAGGAGGTTGGGTGAACCCCGGGACTCCTAGAAATGCCTTTAAGGCATGAATCCATTCATGAAGAAAAGGAACTTTCTCCTTATAGTTTAGAAAATCTTCAGTTTGATGCCTGTTTCAAAGTCCTTGCATAAGCTCCTCAAACTTCCCGCTGACAGAGCACTTAACTCCACTTAATTCCTGAGCACTAAGTTGTGACCAGCTCTCTTGACATACAGAGTCTTGGCTTTCAGCAGCATTATCCAGACTGCTCTCAAGCCAAGTGTTCCAGAAAGCGGGCTGGGGGAGACAGGACTCTGATACCTTCAAAGGAAAACTTCTTGTACTGAAGCCCAAAGTTGCTGGAAGATGGTGGTGGCTTCTTAGTGGGAATGGCGTTCCCTACAGGAAGAACAGAGAAGGCAGTCATGGAACTGGGGCTTTCCTGCCCAAGGTTTTCCCCCACAACTTGAATTGGAGCCCCAGGGACAGTGAGCACTTTCTTCTGACAAACTGAGGCTCTTGGCACAAGCATGGAGGAATCCACACACCACAGTTCTCACCTGGGCCGCTAGAAGGGAGACATGGTGGGAAGCCACCTCCAACCCTCACCGCTAGTCACAGGCTTGGGAGTCACAAGCTGCCACCAGACTTCTCTTTTCCCTTTTTTTTTTTTTTTTTTTTTAATAGTGTTGGCAATGGAACCCAGGTCACCATACACAGGCAAATGCTCTATCTCTGGGCCATATTCCCCAACCCAAACTTTCCATTTTAAGTTAAAAAAAAAAAATCCTTTAGAAGTTGCCTATGTTGGACTCAGGATGTTGGACAGTTTCATCTCAACCTGACACAAGCAAAAGTTATCTGAGAGGAGGAAACCTCAATTAAGAAAATGCCTTCGTAAGATGGGGCTGGAGGCAAGCCTGTAGAGCAGCCGTCTCAACCTTCCTAATGCTGTAACTCTTAATACAGTTCCTTATGTGGTGATGAACCCTCAACATAAAATTAGCTACTTCATACCTTTAATTTTGCTACTGTTATTAATTGTAATGTCAGTATCTGATATGCAGAATATCTGATAGACGACCCCTGTGAAAGGGTTGTTCAAGCCCTAGAGGGGTTGTGACCTCCAGGTTGAGAACACTGATGTAAAACATTTTCTTAATTAGTGATCAGTAGGGAAGGCCCACCTCACTGTGGGTGGTGCCATCCCCAGGCTGGTGGTCCTGGGCTCTATAAGAAGTAGGCTGAGCAAGCCATGAGGAGCAAGTCAGTAAGCAGTGCTCCTCCATGGCCTCTGCATCAGCTCCTACCTCCAGGTTCCAGCCCTGCTTGAGTTCCTGTCTGACTTCCTTGGATGATGAACAGTGCTGAGAAGTATAAGCCGAATAAACCATTTCCTCCCCAGGTTGCTTTTGGTCACGGTGATCATTACAGCAATAGTGACCCTAACTAAGACAAGAGGAATGAAACACACCTTCCCCCCTGCTTCCCCCCTCCGAGCCGAACAAATACAATTGGCTCCTTGGCCTCTTCATCCTAGACACGAGGTAGTTTGAATGAGAATGGCTCCCATAGGCTCATATATTTGAATGCTTAGTCACCAGGCAATGAAACTGTTTGCAAGGATTACAAGGATTGGAGGTGCGGCCTTGTTGGGAGTGCCTTGCTAGAGTAAGTGTGTCACTAAGCCTGGGGGAGTGTTAAGATTTCAAAAGTCCACACCAGGCCTAGTGTCCTCTCTCTACTTGTGGGTCAGGATGTAGCTCTCAAGGACTTAGCTAGAGCCATGTGTGCCTCTGTGCTCCCTACCATGATGATAACAGATGAACCATCTGAAATTGCAAGCAAGCCCCCAACTAAATGTTTTCTTTCATAAGAGCAATAGCACAGGCTAAGACAGCACAGAAAACTCACAGGACACAAGTACTATCTTCCACATACCTTTCTCATTAGCTGTTAATGTACCAGCAGGTTTGGGATTGCTAGGCACTTCTTTCCCAGAACCCTTTGCAGTTCCTTTGCCAGAGGTTGGGTGAGACTTCATCCGACCAAAGAGATCATCATCCATGCTGTCTAAGTCCTAAGACAGCAAGAGGGCAGCCTGATGTCTGGGAAGGTACTATGGTTTAGATGTTTAAGGATCTCCCCAAGGTCCGTAAGAAAAGCGTGGTGGTATTAGGAAATGGAAACTTTGTAGAAGCCCCTTCATTGGTTCATTGGTGGCAGGCCCTTGAAAAGTACTATAGAACCATACCCATACATTTTCTTTGCTGTGCATCAAAATGTGATCAAAAGACTAATACATTCCCCTTCGGTCACTTGCTACCCAATTTTCACTCCCAGCCTCATCTCAGACACAGAACCTCCCAAAACGAGCTAAAGAAATGTCCTTTGTAATTGAGTGCTTTGCTGTGGTAACACAAAGCTGACTGGCTTAGAGGGGAAGAGGACTTGGAGCTGAGGGCGTCTGTGCTCAGGCAGAGAGGATAAAGGAGGTCAGGAAAACTGGTGAAAAAGGAAAGAAAATGCAACGAAAGCAAGCAGAGTAGAGAGGAATGGGACCTGGGTCATGAGACTGCAATGAGAGACACGGGTCATTGTAAAGAGCAATGTGAGAGCATGCAAGGCATGCCTGGCTCCGAGGCCTGCTGCCTTGGGGAACAATGGAGACAAGAAGAAAATGGACACAGAGCTCCACAAGGCTGGAACCAAGAGCTCTGCCTGGGGACCATGGCAAAGTGGAAAAAGAGTGCTGCTAGTTGTGAGAGAAGTGAGGACCAGAGGTGGCAGACCAAGCTATCTAGGCACTGTGAGCCTCTGCTCCATTCTGGCTTTGCCTGCTGAGAGGGGGCCTTCTTGGCAAGGGACTTGGAGAGAAACATGGGAAAGGCGAGGACCAGCTTCTAGAGGACACTTTATCCTGTGCTACCCCTCTCCAGGTGGTAGCAGAGGATGTCTCTTGGCTCCCACTAGAGGCCTGCGGCATAGACTTTGCCCAGATACGCAGTTATACAGGAGGAGTTACAAACGCTGTGAGGCCTCAGTGTGGACTGCTGACCTCCCATTCCCACCTCAGCCTCGAAGATGGCGAAGCTCGTTTGCTACCTTCATGTTCTGCAAGAAGACCTGCGGGTCTGCGTCCGATACACTGGAGACCTGCATCCACAGCGGTGAAGACAGTGAAATTCATGTTAGCCAGGGCCTAACAGCACTTGGGGGTTCTCAGCCCTGCTTTTGCTCGGCAGGGGCAAAGAGCTTGAATGACGGGTCATAAATAGGACGAGCTCTTACTCCCCAACCTCCAGGGATCATTATCAGCTCTTTGAAGTCAAAGCTACCCATATGCAGAGACCCAGAAAGTGTTCCCAGTGTCTTTTCTACCCCAGGACTTGAGTGAGGCAACTTCCTAATTATGCTGCCAGACAGCTCGGACCTTCTCATAGGAAGAGGCGGTCCCCAACCCCTGCAGTTGGGAGGACTCTGCCATCTAGCTCACTGATCTAGTGGGAAGAAAGTGGATGCTTGGGACATAGATGCAGTTCATGGTCATTATTGTACTTTAAGAGTCAAGTACAGGGCTGGAAATATGGCTCAGCTGTTAAAAGCACTGGCTGCTCTTCCAAAGTTCCTAGCACCCACACGGCAGCTCACAACTGTCTATAACTCCAGTTCCATGGATTCTGACACCTTCATACCAATGCACAGAGAATAAAATTAAATAAATTATTTTTCAAAAGAATCAAGTACAGCTGGGTGCAGTAGCACACTCAGGGAGGCGGAGGCAGGCAAACCTCTGTGGATTCAAGCCCAGCCTGGTGTACAAATCGAGTCCAGGACAGCCCAGGCTACCCAGAGAAACCCTGTCTCAAATAAAACAAAACAAAACAAAACAAACAATCAAGTACAAAGCTGGGGGCACGGTCACACATACTTTTAATCCTAGCATCTGGAGGCAGAAGCAGGCAGATTTCTATGAGTTCTGTAGAAGCAGGCAGATTTCTATGAGTTCCGATTTGAGGCCAGCCTGGTCTACATGATGAGTTCCAGGCCAGCCAGAGCTACACAGTGAAACATTGTCTCAAAAACCCAAAATGAACCAGGTAGGGATGCCTTTAATACAGCACTTGGGAGGAAGAGGCAGGTGGATCACGGAGTTTGAGGCCAGCCTGGTCTACAGAGTGAGTTCCAGGACAGCCAGGGCTACACAGAGAAACCCAGTCTTGAAACAAAACAAAACAAAACAAAACAAAACAAAACAAAACCAAAAAACAGGTTGTGTCTCAGTCTGCACATCTGTAATCCCTGATCTTGTCTTGGGCAGAGGCAAAAGGCTGAAGTTACAGGCCAGCTAGGGCCACACAGAATAATCTACCTCACAATGAAACAAAACAACCCAATTGACTTTGCAGGGCCTTCTAAAGCCTCTGTGAGCAGCTACTAGGCCACTCCATCCTCACTGGGGGACAAGTACAAGGTCAAAAACTGGGGAATGGACCAGGCTCACCTCAGCATCAGCTCTTGCCAGTCCTTCAACACTGTCTTTTGGGTAGGACCTGCAAAGAGATGAGGTCAGCAATGATCCCTGTGACTGGGCCACTATATGATTTTAAAAAATTTAAGACTGGGGTCTGGGGGTGTAACTCAGTGCTAGAGCATATGTTTGGCATGTACAAGGCCCTGGGTTCAATCCCAGCATCAAGGAGGGAAGGAGGGTTGGGAGGGAGAGAGGGAAGGAAGAAAAAGGAAAGGAAAGGAGAAAGGAAAGAACGATAAGAAGAAGGAAGGAAGGAAAAGGAAAGGAGAGGAGAAAGGAAGGAAGGAAGGGGGAAAAGAGGAGAAAGGAAGGAAGGAAGGAAACAAGGAAGAAAGAAAAAAGGAAAGGAAGAAGGGAAAGAACAAAAAGGAAAAGGAGAAAGGAAGGAGGGCAGGCTGGCCGGCTGGCCAGGTGTACTAGCACACAGCTGCAGACCCAACATTTGGAAAGTAGAGGCAGAAGGGTTAGGGCTCAAGGTCACCTCTCAGGTGCATGTCCAATTTGATCCCATGTGGAATACATGATGAAAGACCCCAGCCTCACCCTAAGTTAAACATAGCTAACACCATTTTGTGAGACACCACCACTGTTTTGTAAAACTCTGAAGGCCAGATGAGAAACTGGAAAATTACTGAAAAATCCTAGCTGTGTCACCCACTTGGGATATCTGTGGTCAGGCTGCCCCTGTTGAGTTAAAAACAACTTTGTCCTGACCACCCTCATGGGATATCTGACAGGTGGTCCGGCTGAGATAGGAGTCCTGGGAAAAGCAACATATGGCGGCACTAGTCAAGGTCGTCATAATTGTTTTGACCACCCAGTTCCTGGAATTCTGGTGTCCCTGCCAACCTGATTCATGTTATGGTTTCATGTGAAAGAGCCAATCAGCTCCCTGTAACTATGCTTCTTGCTTCTGTACCAGTGCTCCTGCTCTAAAACCCTATAAAAACCCCAGCTTCCTATCTTGGGGGGCGCAAAAGTCCTTTCGAGTGACTTTCGCCCCGGGTACCCGTGTATCAAAATAAAAGCCTCTTGCTGTTTGCATCCGAATGGACTCGTTGTTCTTTGGGAGGGGGTCTCTCTGACGGAAGATACCCTCCGGGGATCTTTCAATGAGACCCTGTCTCACAGAGCTGTGAAGCTGGCTTACAGTCAAAGTGAACTTGAGGACACTTTTTCCGGGGGACAGAGATAGAATCTCAGACAGCTGTGTGTAGTGGTGCATGGCTTTAATCCCAGTATTTGGGAGGCAGAGGCAGGTGGATCTCTATGAGTCCAAGGCCAGCCTGGTCCACAGAACAAGTTCCAATTCCAGGTCAGCCAATTCCAGGCTACATAAAGAAACCCTGTCTCAAAAAACAAAACAAAAATCCAAAGCCCACATAGTACAGAAATTTTCTACTTAAATCATCTTTCTAGTTTTTTAAAGCAGTAAAGCCCTTTACATATGACGTGTTAATAAATGAATCATTATTGGGGCCAAGAGAACGGCTCAGTCAGTAAGGGACCTGCTCAGTTGGCATTGGAAGCTCCCCACCTCCAGCACCCATGTAAAAGAGCTGTGTGTGGTCATGCATGTCTGCAACCTTGGTGCTGGATGGGGGAAGCGGGGCATGCAAACAGGAGAAGCCCTGGAACTCCCTACCAAGCAATCCAGGTGGGAGGGGCAGATCTACTGAGATAACATGTCTCAGCAGATAAGGTGGAGAGCAACATTAGGAAACAGCCCAGAGACCACTAGCTCCTGGCTCCACGTGCACATGCACACATGTGAGCAAGCATGCACACATACCCTAGTTAGTTACAGTTAAAGCTGGGCAAGGTGCCACCCTGTGATCTCAGTATCTGTGAGACCGAGGCAGAAGGATTACTCCAAGTTCGAGGCCAGCTCACTATGGGCTACATGCTTAGTACCAAGCCAACCATGATTACACAGGAAGACCCTGTCTTAAAACAAACAAACAAACATAAAACAAGCCAATAAAACCCAAATAACAAAGACAAACAAAAAAGTTAAAACAAGAAGAGAATTTTTTTTTCTCTCTCTCTCTCTCTCTCTTCTTTTAAAGCAGGGTCTCACTCTATACCCTGGCTGGCCCGGAATTTCCAAGTAGGCCAGACCAGCCTCAAGTTCACAGAGGGTCACACCTGCCGCTTCGGGAATTAAAGGCGAGCCCCACCCCACCTAGATGAAAAGGAAGCCAAAGGTGGAGTGTTCACTCTCAAGAGATCAGACGAATTTGGGAAGCAGTGATCTGAGCCAATCTCTCATTTTGGGGATGAGGACACAGGCTCAGAGACGTCCAGCATGACCTAAGAAACATTTGGAGGACTAGAAGCCAGGCCTTTAGATCCCCGGGGCTTAAGAGTTTTTTACTTTGTAGATTCTATCAGTAATCAGAGCTAAGGGGGAAAGGTGAAACTCCCAATGTCAACTGTGGCCACTGGCCAAGATGGAGTGCAGCGGGGGGGCAGAGGGCTGGACAGGAACGTGCCAGCGGTGCTTACTTTGCTTTAGCCTTTGAAGGGGGCCACTGAGGTGTGCTTGCTGCGTCTTTGGCATGTGAAGCTGGCTCAACAGGCTTCTCAAGCAACGTCGCTGCAACAAGGGAAACAAGAAAAGACATGCCATTCAGCCGGAGCACGGAAGCAACAATGAAGAGGGTGGTGACTCCTTACTTAGCTGTCTCTACACCTTCCCGCAGAAAAGGCAGCTTGCTGGCACCACAGGCACATCCTGATGCCATCCCTGATAAACATAAGTAGAAGGGGGTACATCTCCAAATAGGAAGTCAATCCCAGATGCCAAGAGTGCCAAATGGACAGGCCAACCCACCCTACCTGGGCCACATAAAAAGGCAGAGACACTGGAGAGATGGCTCAGAGGTTAAGAACACTGGCTGTTGTTTCAAAGGTCCTGAGTTCAATTCCCAGCAACCACATGGTGGCTCACAACCATCTATAATGAGATCTGGGGCCCTCTTCTGGTGTGCAGGCACACATGCAGGCAGGATACTGTATAAATAAAAAAATAAATACTGTATAAAAACAAACAAACAAACAAAAAGGCAGAGACACAATGGCCTTTCCATAGTCCCAACTGTAGAGTGAAGTGTGTAAGTTCTCCGTGGAAACAGGAGCCTGGCTACCCACCTGAGGAGCTCTCCCATCTCCTCAGCCCAGTTCCTCAGGACCAACAAGGGGCTAGCTGGGCGTGCCAGGTCATGGTTGTAATCTTAGGACAAGGGGGGCTAAGGCAGGAGGATTTTTCCAAGTTTGAGGCAAGCCTAGGCTACACATTGAGACCTTGTCTCCAGTGAAAATTAATGAATTGGTTAGCCAGCAGACAAGGGTGCTTGCCGCCAAGTCCGATAAGCTGTGTTCAGTTCTGGGACCCACACAGTGGGAGCTGCCTTCTGACTTCCACCTGTGTGCTCTTGCACACGTGTGCATCGCCCTCCAAAAGGAAAAAAATAAACCCAAGTTTTGTTTTGTTTAAAGAAAGAATAAAAAAGGAAATTGGGGCTGAGAGAATAAGCTCAGTAAAAGCACTGCAGGGCCTTGGGCTCCACTGCCAGCACTGCAAAACATTTACAGAACAAGTAATAGAACATGTGACAACATTCAAAAGCAAAGTGCCCTAGTCACAAGCGGGGAAAGCCTCTGAACAGACACATCTCCAAAAACAGTCACATCCAGGGCTGGAGAGATGGCTCAAAGCTTAAGAGCACTGTCTGCTCTTCCAAAGGTCCTGAGTTCAAGTCCCAGCAACCACATGGTGGCTCACAACCATCTATAATGTGATCTGGTGCCCTCTTCTGGTGTACATGCAGACAGAGCACTGTATACATAATAGTAAGTCTTTTAAAAAACATTACCAAAAAAAAAAAAAAGTCACAGGCACAGGATGGCCAAGACCAAATGATGGGAAAAGCCAGGCCGGGAGGCACAGGCCTGGGACCACAGCAGCTCTGGAAGCAGAATGGAAAGTTCATTGGCTCCCTATCTACCCAGTGAGTTCAAGACCAATGTGGGTATCACACGAGACTTAGTCACAAAATGAAAAGTAACACTAAGAGGGGCTGGGGGCCAAATACTGCTCAGTGGTACAGTGTTGACCCAGCATGCATCAGGCCTGCACTCAATCCCTAGTAAATAAGCAAGGAAACACAAACCAAACAAAAAGCCAAAGACAGGAAATAAGCACTGTTGGGGAGCTTCTTGCATTTGCTAGTGGGAATGTAAGGTATGGCTGCTGTGGGAAACCACTTGACAGTTTGTAAGAAAGTTAAAACAGGGTTACCATATGGTCCAACAAACACTATGGCAATTTGTGGTGCTTGGTTCTCTCTTCCCTCATGTGGGCTTCAGGGGTAGAACTCGAGTGGTCAGACTTACACCTTCACTGGATGAGTCCTCTTACCAGCCTCCCCTCCCCTGCCCAGGGAAGGAATACTTACTGTCATCTCCCAGGAGGTCACCAAGGACATCATCAATGGAACCTGAAAACAAATGAGCCATCAGGACTTCGGGAAGCAAGAAGAGTGGCCCTTATAAAGTCTGACGCCCTGAGACTTCGGTGTCCCAGAGTTCTCAGATCCCAGGCCTCAGGCTGACATTGCCTTCCCTGGCCAAGACATTGTTTCTAATGGCAATAAGCCACAAGGTCTTATTGAAACCCTCAGGTGGAACTTTAAAATAACTTTCCTGAAGAATGATGATGATGATTTTTCAGTGAAGTCTCCTTTCTACCCACCTCACCCAAAACACAAAAGGCAGAAGTCAGCCTTCCAGCCTCTAACAGGCAGTGTTGTCCTTCGGAGCAGCACCCACACAAACACAGCTCTCCTACACGGCTGTACCCCCGCCCCCGACACTCCCTAGGGCTGGGCTGAATGCACCTCCCTGGTCACTTCTGATAGAGACATGGTGGGGACATCTTAGGTAAGCATGTCTGAAATAATTCCCCTACCCAGCTTTACTTGCCTTGACCACCCTTAACTTCAAACATATATCCCTGAATTCAATGAGAAATACTCTTTCTAAAACTTCATTATTTATTCACTTGTTTTAAAGTGCTGGGGAGCACAAGCAAGCCTGGCTTTCTCCAGCGAGGGCTGCTCTCTGACCCCTTTTTCTAGGAGGAGTGTACCAGCAATGCCTTGCTTCAACAGACTCAGCCTTCTTGATCCTCCCGTTTGCGTGTGTGTTTAATGAAACAGGGTCTTTCTCTATATAACCTTGACTGTCCTGGAACTGGGTAGACCAGACTGACCTTGAACTCACAGAGATCCGCCTACTCTGCCTCCCTGAATGCTGGGACTAAAGACCAGCACCACCACCGCCTGGCTTTTTTTTTTTTTTTTTTTAATTGGAGCAGGGACCTGTGTCATGACATTACTGTGGAGATCAAAAGACAATTTGCAGGAGTCATTTCTCTCCTTCTACCATTTAGGTCCTAGGGATTTGGGCTATCAGACTTGGCACCAGACAGCTTTATTTGTTGAGTTGCCTCACCAGATTTTTTATTTTGTTTTGTTAAAAAAAAAGGGGGGGGGGAGGGTGTGTATGTCTTTAATCCCAGCACCCAGGCAGAAGGTGGATCTTGGTGAGTTTGGGCCAGTCTGGTCTACAGGGTGAGTTCCAGGACAGAAAAAGAAAGAAGAAGAAAAAAAGAGAAGGAAGAAGAAAATAGAAAAGAGAAGAAAAAGGAAGAGGAAGAAGAAAAAGGAAGAGGAAGAGGAAGAGGAAGAGGAAGAAGAAGAAGAAGAAGAAGAAGAGGAGGAGGAGGAGGAGGAGGAGGAGGAGGAGGAGATATATTTGGATTAAGGGTGATGTTCCATGTCTCCACTTACCTCTCAATCCTTTCCTGGTTTTCAGTGCCTAAAATGGGGGAAAAATCATATCAACAAAATCCAAACATGAGCATGTATGGAACTGGGCAAGAAGAATGCTTTGCCTTTCTCCAGGACCGCAGAAGAAGGAGCACCATGCATTTACAGATGAAGAGGGTTCTGTTTGCCTCCAGCTTCTGAGAATGAATTTACTCAGAGTGCAGAAGCAGTCCTCACTAGCCAGCAAAGCCAGGCTGTGGACGGGCAGCTCTCCTCTAATTTACAATTACCACACACAAAAGCCGCCCAGACAGATCAATAACCAGAACATTTTCTTCTATTCTGTGTGTCTGATGAGTGTTTAAAAATGCTACCAATAGGAAATTCAGAGGATTCAGAGGTTCAAGAAACAGGCTGGCATGGCTCCTGCCCTCAATTCCATTACTCAAGAGGCAGCGGCAGGTGGATCTTTGTGAATCCCAAGCCAGCCTGGTCTTCTATCTAGCTACGCTAGACCAGCCAGAGCAACAGTGAGACCCTGCCTCAACAAAACAAAACAACAACAAAAACAGAGGCTAAATAAGAGAGGGGTCTCTCTGTGTAGCCACTGGCCTGAAGCTTTCCATGTCCAACAGTCTGGCCTGGAATCACAGAGATCCACCTGCCTCTGACTCTGTCTCCACATTCATGGATTAAAGGCCCAGGTCAATGCTTGAGGTTTTTTTTCTAACACTGCTCTATCATGGGACCATCTTCTGGTCCCTGCCACAAAACTTCTAGAATATTCTATGCAATCAAGATATGGAGGGTCCGGGGTAGGGTAGGGTGTCTCTCGCCGCACATCTTATGCTACGTTTTGCCTACCATCCTGGGCTTCGGGGCTTTCTGCAGCTCCTTCACAGCACTGCCCAGTCATGTGCATTCTTGCCCAGCAAGTTCATCTTCCCTAGTAGAGAAAATTAAAGTAGCTGCTTAAAAGTGATGTAGCTAAAGCTGGAGAGATGGCTCCAGAGCTAAGGGCACAAACTCAGAGGATCTGAGTTGGGTTCCTAGCACCTGTGTTGGGTACTCACAAGCCTCTGTAAGTCCAGCTCCAGGGGATCCAAGCCTCTGGCCTCCACAGGCACCTGCACCCATGTGCACTTACACACACATTCATATAATTACAAATAAAATCTTTTTTAAAAAATAGGTAGTTTATCTGGACATTGTCACATAAGCCTGAAATACCAGAACTTGGAAGTAGATAAAAAAGAAATCAGGAGTTAGCCAGGCAGTGATAGCACAGGCCTTTGACCCCAGCACTGCAGACACAGGCAGAGCTCTGTGAGTTCAGAGCCAACCTGGTCTACAGAGCAAGTTCCAGAATAGCCAGAAATAGGTCAGAATTTCTATTAGCTCAGAATTTCTGAACTGGAAGCCACTCAGTGAGTAAAAGTGCTTTTGCCACCATGCCTGACTGAGTTGCATCCCCCAGGAGAAACATGACAAGGAGAATTGACTCCTGTAAGTTTTCCTTTACTTCCATGTACATGTGTGCCCACTCACAAATAAATAAGTGTAATTAAATTAAAAAAAAAATTTCCTGAAATTCCTGAGGTGGGTATGATAACACACACTTAGCTTCAACCCCAGAATTTAGTAAGCTGAGGCGGGAAGATCACAAGTTCTAAGCTAACCTGAGCTATGTAACAAGACCTTGTCAAGAAATAAGTGGCCCTGGGTGGGTGGAGGGGTGATGGTGTTCATGGTGGCACAGGCCTTTAATCCCAGCACTCAGAGGTAGAGTTAGGTGGATCTTGGGTTTGAGGCCAGCCTGATCTAGAGTGAGTTCCAGGACAGCCAGGGCTACATAGAGAAACCCTATCTCAAGGCCCCTCCCCATCAAAGAAAGAAAGAAAAAGCTAGGGGGCTGAAGAGATGCCCGGGCCATTAAGAGCACTTGCGGCTCTTCTAGAGAGGAGCTGGCCTGGATTCCCAGGACGTCCTCTCTAACTCCCATGGTGGAAGGGATCTGATGCCCTGTTCTGACCTCCCAGAGCACGTTATACATAAGGTGCACAGGCACACAGGCTGACAAAACATCCATACACATAAAATAAAAATAAATTTTAGAAAAGGAGAAAAAGTTAGGTATAATGCCTCATACTTGTAATCCCAGCACTTGGGAGGCTGAAGCAGGATCGCTGAGTTGGGGGCCAGCTTGAACCATACAGGAAGTTCTTGGGCTAGGGTAATTTCCCGTCTCAAAAACCACATTGGGGTGGGGGTAGAACATATGAGAATTCCGTATTCACCTAATGGACTTTCCTTGGTTTGGAGTGTACTTGAAAAAAGGTAGTTCACATCGTTTACCCCAGAAGCTGATGCTTAGGGTTCCCACGCCTTGGTGCAAACGTTAGTAGGGAACTCTGAGTATCTGTAGGTAGCATCCAGCAGAAAGCGCGAGAGTGAGTTCTGGTTTTTCCTTTCACAGATGATAAACATTTCATACTGGGAACATTTTCCCCAGCATTTCCTCCCTCTCTCTCTCTCCTCTCCCACTTCGCGCAAACCCACCTTCACACGCCTAGGAAGAAAGGCGGCTGCGGCGCTCATCTGTCTTCTCGGTGTGCCTAGCCTCTTATTAAAACGCAAAGTGTATCTGGGGTTGTGGACACAGGGGAATGCTTATGTTTCTCCCGTGCGATGCCAACTTTAACGACCTACAAGTCCCAAGCGCGTTTTGGCTCGTATCACATCAAGGAACTTCTTCTATCTCCTATGCATTCCGTCGCAGCTTCCCAGACGGTGGGACATTTTCTAGGAGCCGCAAGTAAAGTCAAAGTATCCCAGAATAACGTCGCGTCTTCAAATCTATTCAACCAACTCCATGAAGACATTTTAAAAATCGCCAGCCCGCCCCTCAGCCACAGCGGTTCCGGGAGTGTCGCGCCAGGCCAGGCATGGAGCCCCTCAATGTTCCATCCCCCTCGCGCCCATCCCGTCCAAACCCAGGCACAGCCAATCTTCTCCCTAGTCCCTAAGGGCCTTGTTAAGAGCCGTCCTTTCAGAAACACGGCCACCACGGAAACCCAGACCAACCAGAGCCCACGTTCCGACTCCACTCAGTCCGCCCGGTACTGCCAGGCCTACCACTTCTGCACCGGCGACATTCCCACCTCGCAGCCTCCGGCCTCAAATACAAGGTGGCGTGGAGCATTCTAGGAACTGTAGTCCGCGGCCAGCGCTTTAGCGGGCCGAATCACAGCAGATGTCGGAAAGAACTACATCTCCCGGCGTGCACCGCGGCGGGCCCCCTTCTCCAGGCAGGGCGTCGGTTGGAAGCTCTGCGAGTTGCTAGGCGCTGGGAGAGCATCCGGGGATTGGGTGCAAAGGGTTCCTTGCGCTCTGAGGATTAATTGGTGACTGGGAAATTCTTGGTCAATGATATGGTCAAAGTTGCATTGTTAGGAAACCCAAAATCATCAACAAGGACAAACAGTGGATGTGCCAAGCCCAGAATCACAGCATTTGTAAAACCTAGGCTGGACCAAGACTGTAAACTTCTTAGGTCAAAACCAGCTGCAGCACAGATTTGAGACCACCTACATAATAGTGTCTCAGAACTACACTTAAGACACTTTCGTGGGTGGACTTATTACAAATTTTTAAAAAAGACTTTATTTTTTACTCAGTACTCTGCCTGCATGTACATCTGCACACCAGAAGAGGGCACCAGATCTCATTATAGATGGTTGTGAATCACCATGTGGTTGTTGGGAATTGAACTCAGAGCCTTTGGAAGAGCAGACAGTGCTCTTAACCTCTGAACCAGAACCATCTCTCCAGTCCCCGTTTTTTTTTTTTTTTTTTTTTAAGACAAGGTCTCAGTATGTAGCCCCAGCTGTCTTTTCATGTTTTTTGTTTGTTTGTCTGTTTGTTTGTTTGTTTTTTAAATTGTGAATATTCCTGTGCATGTCTTTGTAGGGCTATGTGCACCCTTGGAGGTCAGAAGGCTTCCATCCCCTGGAGTTACAGGCAGTTGTGGAGATTAAACTTGGGTTCTCTGGCTACAGAGATGGCTCAGTGGTTGAGGGTACTTGTTACAAAAGACCCTGGTTCAGTTCCCAGCGTCCACATGGAGGGCTCACCATCTCCTAAGGCACTAATGCATGTAGGATACAGATATACAGGGAGGCCAAATAAATCTAAAACAATGTAAACTTCAGTTCTTTGCAAGAGTAGTACATGCTTTTAACTGCTGAGCACCTTTCTAGCTAATTCAGAGTCCGTAAACTCACTCCCAGTCAATACAAGACTCACTATATTTAGCTCAGATTAATTTTTTAAAATTTTGAAATTTGTCCATAACTAAAACTTTCTTGAAAAACTGACGTCAAAATAGGAGATTATTGTTGTATAGTTTATAAAGCCAAACAAAATTACATTGTCTTGGTAGAGTAACTGAATTTGATAAGGCTTCTTGTGAGAAAACGTAAGTTCAGGAAATTGTATAGATCATCACTGTTATATTCTTCTAAATGAGTGGTCCTTAACTTTCCTAACGCTGTGACCCTTTAATCTAGTTTTTATGTTGTGGCGACCTCAACCATAAAATTATTTTTGTTGCTACTTCATAACTGTAATTTTGCTGTTATGAATTCTAATGCAAATATCTGATATGTCGGATATGTGACCTCTGTGGAAGGGTCATGACCCACAGGTTGAGAACCTTTGTTATACATGAAAGGCCTTCTGTGGGCCTAGCTTTTCCTCCTGTGCTGACCCACCAACTGTTGAACAACCTCCACAAAGAACCACTGTCTAGGCATGGCTGAAAACTGTAGCTATCTTGTAGCAACCCCAACACTTCACCTTCATGAAGTAAGAATTTGGCCTCTGAACTGGCTGTTCTTTATGGGTTTTTTTCTGTTTTTTTTTCTTTCCTTTCTCTCCCAAGGAATGGGTAAAGAGATCTCTCGCTAGAGGCACGGTGGTGGCTCTGCTAGCATGGCTGTTCCAGATCTCTCCAAATTAGTATTTTAAATTTGACTTTTATATGTGCCTATGTTTAGATCAAACCCACCCTCCACTCTACCTGCTCCAACTCCTCCCACATCCCCTCCCCAGCCTTCTCCCTCACAACCTTCTGTATTCTTTTTCTTTTATGCAACATCGAGTCCACGAATGGCCCACGTTTATGGGCATGGGGACACCAGAACATGGGCTATTTATCAGGGGAAGAGTTTTGGGGGGAGTTCTTGAATAAAACTGAGACTTCCTCAGCTAGGATTGGGACTATGAGACGCTCTCCCCATCCATGTTGAAAGCTTGGCTGGCTTGATCTTGAAAGAACAGTCCTAGTCACTGTGAGTCATGAGTGCAGCAGCAGCCATGTTTGGAAGGCACTGTTTTGCAGCAATCCCCCACTACCTCTACCCAGCTTTGATAATGATCCATGAGCCTTGGTGTGTGTGTGTGTGTGTGTGTGTGCAGGTTAAAAATGTTCCACTAAAAACTGAGCATTTCCATAGCATCTCTCTGCACACTGATTAACTATCTTTGTATTAATTGCCATCTATTGAAAACTTCTGAGAATTTAACCCAAATATAAATGGTTAAAGCAAAACCAAACAAACTAGTTAGAATCTTGGGAATTGAAACCACTAAAAAACTGGTTTGTAGCTAAGAACAGGATTAACTGTATTTGTTTTTTAAAAAATACTGATTCTTTTTTTAGTTTTTTTAAAAGATTTATTATGTATACAGTGTTCTGTCTGCATGTACACCTGCTCACCAGAAAACGGCATCCAATCTCATTACAGATGGTTGTGAGCCACCATGTGGTTGCTGGGAATTGAACTCAAGACTTCTGGAAGAGTAGCCACTGCTCTTAACCTCTTAGCCATCTCTAATTGTATTCTTATCATCATAGAATATGAGTGTTTAAGAACTCAGTAAGCTGCCAGCTTTTACTGGTGGTACATGCCTTTAATCTCAGTACTCCAGAGGCAGAGGCAGGTTTAAAAATTTTTTTTGTTCATTCATTTATCATGTATACAGTGTTCTGGCTGCAGGCCAGAAGAGGGCACCAGATCTCATTATAGATGGTTGTGAGCCACCATGTGGTTGCTGGAAATTGAACTCAGGACCTCTGGAAGAGGAACCAGTGCTTTTAACTGAGCCATCTCTCCAGCTCGATTTTGAAGGCATCCTGGTATTTGGAGTAAGTTTAAGGATAGTCAGGACTAGGGAGAGAAATCCTGTCCTGAAAAAAATAATAACTTTTTTTCAGTAGGTCGGAGTTGGAGAGATGGCTCTGAAGTGTGGATCACCTCTTCAGCCCTACTAAGAACCAAGGCTCTGCAGGTGGATACGGTGGACGGGTTCACACAGCAGATGCTGCCCACCCATTCGCCATGACTACAGTATTTGAATTGAGGAATGTCTATATTTAAGAGCCAAGATTTCAGTCATTTAAGTTTGTTATTTTCCAGAATAGGAACTGTCAATAGAAACCTCAATGACATGGTGCTAACCATCAATCTTCGGCAATTATCGCTCCAGGAGAAAGGCCCAGGCTTGTGTCAACAAATCTGATGCTATCAACTCCCCTGGAACTGATTTCATGTCAGGTGTCAACATCATTTCCACTCCATTATACTGTGTTCTCAGCACCATTCTGTTGGTATAATGTTCTTGTGGAGTGTATACAATTTATCCTTGTTCATTCAAATGCTGATTTCTCTACCCCACTATCTGATTTCAATCCAGATAATGCATTATCACCTGCCTCAAGTCTGTGTAAATATGCTACCGTTTATTTTCTGTATTGCCAATAAAACCAGCCAATGCTGAGCAATGGAGAGAATAGGGTGGGACATCATGGTTCAGAAGGGAGGAGAAAAAAAGGTGAGCAGGAAGAGGGTCAGAGAGGAAAGATCTGAGAGGAGAGGACCTGGAAACACAAGGAGAGATGAACCGGACATAAAATATGCCTACAAATCAAGTATAATGTGGGAAATCTGAATGGGAGGAAGCTATGCGGGCTTGGAGGTTTTGTGCTCTAGGTTAATTAAATCGAACCTAGTCTCTGTGTGGTGATTTGGGAATACACTAGTTTAAGAATAACCGCTGTTTAACTAAAGATAAATCAATCTTAAATATTAATAATCATCAACAAATGGTGCCCAACGTGGGCAGAATTTTACAATAATCTAGCAAGAACTTACATAGAAAGTAAAACTAGAGAGAAGTTTTTAAGTTCTGTTATTTAAAAACAAAGCATCGCAGTTGCTCAAACTAGGAGCTCAGATTTCCGATTAGACAGACCCCCTGCAGAGCAGCAAGGCCTCCGGCAGGCTGCAGAAAAACAATTGATACATACAAACCCCAGACAGGCACTCTCTTTAAGTAGAAAAAAAAGTGGCTCTTTGACAAGAAGGCTTCTCAAGGCCAGACTTTGCTAACCGAGGCAGAAAGCAAAATCCTTTTGAGAAGGGGTTCTTGCCGGTCTGAGGAGCAAACATTTGTGGACTCGATAACTTCCCAGAGTGAGGAACGGATCAGGATCCGTGAGGAAGGCAGAAAAAAATACCTCTGCCTGGAAGCAGGAGTCAGAGACAGAGAAGCCTCAAGCATCTGAACTGGTAAGGTCTGAAAGGGAAGCTGGGTCTAAGAAAGTAAAGTCCTTAGGGAAAGGTTTTGAGATTAAAGAAGATAATTTTTTATGTTGAAAATGGAGGAAGACACAATGACACAGTGCTTCTGGGTACCATTTGTTTCTTACCATACAAGTAATTTTTTCACTCATGATTTCAGTTTTATATATCCTCTTTAGGAGAGATCAGGATAAGACAGACTTGGAGAAAGAAGAGACTGAGATAATAGATGATAAATTAAAGGCCATATTGCAAAATGGCAGCCCATCGAGATACTGAAGAGAAAGTCTTCAGTTATAGGCCAACTGGATCAGACTGGATATTGGGTGTACTGTTAAGGTTCAATTACTAGATCAAGGCCTATATGCTAAAGTAGAAATGCAGATCCTGTTTAGTGTTATTTTGGAACAAGGTCATACAGTGGCTGGTGTGCTCCATTTTACAGAGTTTGGAGAACTAAACTACATGAATCACACCATAGATTCATATTCAGAATTCCAGTGAGTTTTTGCCTTAAATTTTGGAGAGCATGATCCTAAGGTTACACATTTGTTAGAGATGGTGTTTTGGAGATGCCCTTGCAAAATGGGGCTGCTGGTGCTTCACC